TTTCACTTTCAACCTTTGTGTGTCTTTAGATCTAATGTGAGTCTCTTGCATATAGTATGTATTTAGATTTTTTTAAATCCATTCAGCCAGTCTCTGTCTTTTGATCGGAAAATTAGCCTATTTGCATTTAAATTAGTTATTGATAAGGAAGGGCTTACTATTGTAATTTTGTTAATTGTTTTCTATATGTCTTGCAGCTATTTTGTTCCACTTTTCCTCTCTTCCTGCCTCCCTTTATGTTTCACTGATTTCTTTTTTTTTGGTAGGGACATGCTTTGATTCCTTTCTCATTTTTATTTGTGTATCTTCTATAGGTATTTTCTTTGTGGTTACTGTAGAATTACATGAAAATATCTTATAGTTATAATAATCTATTTTAAATTGACAACAACTTAACTTCAATCACATACAAAAACTCTACTTCTTTACATCTCCTTCTCACTTTGTTATCAGTGTCACACAATACATATTTTTATATTGTTTATTTATATAATTTAATAAAGTAATGTTATGCTTTTACCTTTTAAATTCCATGCTTCAATTACAAGTGAATTACAGGCTGGGTGTGGTGTCTTACACCTGTAGTCCCAGCACTTTGAGTGGCCAAAGTGGGAGGATCGCTTGAGCCTAGGAGTTTGAGACCAGCAAGACCTTATCAATACTAAAAATTTAAAAATATTATCTGAGTGTGGTGGTGCATGTCTGTAGTCCCAGACACTTAGGAGGCTGAATTGGGAGGATTGCTGTAGCCCAGGGCTGCAAGGCTGCAGTGAGCCGTGATCAAACCACTGCACTCCAGCCTGGGCAACAGAGCAAGACTCTGTCTCAAAAAAGAAAAAGAAACAAGTAAAGAAGAAAAGTGTTCTACTTACCACCATTACAGTATTACAAGATTCTGTGTTCACTCATATATTTACCTTTACCAAAGAAGTTTATATTTTGTATGCTTTTGTATTTCTATCCAATATCCTTTCATTTCCACTTAAGGACTCCTTTTAACATTTTTTGTAAGGTAGATCTAGTGGTGACTGACTCCCTCAGCTTTTACCTCTCTGGGGAACTCTTTGTTTGTCCTTCATTTTTGAAGTGCAGTTTTACTGACTATATAGTTCTTGGTTGACAGTTTTTTTTTTTTTTTTCAGCCCTTTTAATATATCATCCCATTCTCTTCTGGCCTGTAGAGATTTTGCTGTGAATTCCACTGATAACCATATGACATCTCCCTCATATGTGAAAAGTTGCTTTGATCCTGTTCCTTTCAAGATTCTCTCTTTGTCTTTGACTTTTGACAGTTTGATTATAAGGTGTCTCATTGTAGGTTTTTTGCAAATTATTTAACTTGGAGTTCTTTGAGCCTCTTGGATTTGTATGTTCATTTCCTTCCTTAAATTTGAGTTTTTGGTCATTATTTTTTTAACTGGCTCTCTACCCCTTTCTTTTTCTCTTCTCCTTCTGGAACTTTCATAATGCATACATTGGTCTGCTTGATAGCATCCTGTAAGTGTCTTAGGCTCTCTTCACTCTTCGTTCCTTTTCCCTTTTGCTCCTCTGACTCTGTAATTTCAAATGACTAGTCTTCAGTTTCACTGATTCTTTCTTCTGCTTGATGTTATTGAAAACATCTTTGCAAAAATTATAACTGAAGAAATTATGACAGTGAAAGAGATCAGACCTAATCAACTCCATCTTGCTTCTAACATTTAAACTGTCCCTGTCCATTCCTAGCAGTAGGATGAACTAATTTTGGGAAAGTATTCAGTTCATAGTTTGACTCTGAAACAAAGTTGATAATAGCCATCTCCCGAAGAGATCCCCTTCTTGCCTGGGGACCAGTCTGCCTTTGCAGGATAAACAAATTAGCTACAACATTAGAAATTACAGTTTAGGGGTTATGCAGCCTCTGGCTCCAAGAATCTGAACCTCTCCAAATTGCTCCTGGGAATAACATCACTATTGTAAAACCTAAAATCGGTGCTTGAGATATTTTGCAGACCCTGCACTAGATGAATCAGCTGATACCACCCAGACTGGTAATCTGGCTCAACTAGTTCTGCCATACCACCTACAAACAGAAGACAGCAAGAAAACATCACTTCAACCCCCTATGATTTCATCTCCAACCTTACAAATCCCCACTTCCCAAGCCCCTACCTGCCAAATTATCTTTAAAACTTCTGATCCCTGAATACTCGGGGAGACTGATTTGAGTAATAATAAAACTCTGGAGTCCCACACAGCTGGCTCTGCATGTATTACTGTTTCTCCATTGCAATTCCCCTGTCTTGATAAATCGGCTCTGTCTGGGCAGGTCACAAGGTGAATCCACTGAGCAGTTAGTTACACAGTCTGTTGGTGATTTCCTATAGTGAATTTTTCAATTAGCTATTGTATTTCTTAGCTCCAGAGTTTCTGTATGATTCCTTTTGTTTGTTTGTTTGTTTCTATCTCTTTATTAGTATTTTCATTTTGTTCATTAATTATTTCCTACTTTCATTTAGTTGTCTATTTCTGTTGTCATTGGGCTTCATTAAGAGAGTTAATTTGGATTCTTTGTCAGGTAACTCATTTATCTATTTCTTTAGGGTTGGTTTCTGGAGATTTATTTTGCTCCTTTAGTTTAGTCATTAGGTTTCTCTGTTTCTTCTTATGCCGTGTTATTTTTTATTTATTTTTGCCAGGATTTGGACGTTTGAAAAAACTGCCACTTCTCCCAGTTTTTATCAGCTGGCTTCATACGGAAGACCTTTACCTGAATCAGCATGGCTATAGGCTCTAGCGGCCTCTCAAATCTTTTCTGGGAATGCATCTTCTTTGGGTTTATACATGCAATATCCCAAGTAGAGGTTTGCCAGTTTCTTTTTCTGGAGCTGTTGCTCCCTCTGGTATCTGTCTGTCTGTGGTACTGCAGGTTCCCTGGTGCTGCATCATCTCTGACCTCTCCTTTATTCTCAGTGGCTCCCACGTATCCAAAGTATGCTGGTTGGGTGTCAAGTTAGAGAGAGAGAGCTTCAGGTAGCCTCATAAAACTGTTACATTCCAGTCTTCTCTTTCCCTGCTAATGGAGAAGCTACAAGTGGAGTGCTTTCTCCCAGCCACACCAACCTATTCCAGCTTGGGGAAGGGGTATCATGAGTATAATACAACAGCTTTTCTTATTTGTTCAATGCCACTATTCTTGGCTTTGCACTTGTCTGTGCTACTACAACTTCTTAATGGTTTTTTGTTTGTTTGTTTGTTTGTTTTTGAGACAGTCTCGCTCTTTCGCCCAGGCTAAAGTGCAGTGGCATGATCTCAGCTTACTGCAAGCTCTGCCTCCCGGGTTCATGCCATTCTCCTGCCTCAGCCTCCCGAGTAGCTGGGACTACAGGTGCCCACCACCATGCCCGGCTAATTTTTTTCTATTTTTAGTAGACACGAGGTTTCACCCTGTTAGTCAGGATGGTCTTGATCTGCTGACCTTGTGATCCGCCCGTCTCGGCCTCCCTACATGCTGGGATTACAGGCATGAGCCACCACGCCCGGCCACAACTTCTTAATGGTTTATGGAACTCCATAAAGGCTTTTATACCATATATTGTTGTTCAGTTGGTATCTTTGTGGAGAATCAAAGTTTGGAGCTTCCCATTCCACCCTCTGGCTGACATCACTCTGTTTATATTATTTTTCATTTTTATTATATTTTATTTTCTTGAGATAGGGTCTTGCTTTGTCAGCCAGGCTGCTGTGCAGCCTCGAACTCCTGAGTTCAAGGGACCTCCTCCCTCAGCCTACTGAGTACTTGGACTATAGGCACACACCACATACCTGGCTAATTTTTTAATTTTCTTGTAAAGATGGGATATCACTCTGTTGCCCAAGCTGGTCTCAAACTCTTAGAAGTTCAAGCAGTCCTTCTGCCTTGGCCTCCCAAAGTGCTAGGATTAAAGATGTGAGCCCACCATGCCCTGCCTATTATATTTAGTAGAAAATATGTCTAAAAATATGCTTACTTACTATATTGAATCCACTACCCAGAGCTTAACTGAACTATTTTGGTGACTCAGAATCTGGTTTTTTTTATTATTTTTTGTTTTTTACTTATTGCAATGAACTACAAGTATGGATTTATTAATATTAATGAATATAAAATATACTGGAATCTTTTGTATTTTTTTTTTTTCCTTTTGTCTTCACCAAAAGCAGATACTTAAATATACTGAAATCTTAATTGACCCTTGAATGTTTCTAGGACTGACCCTGGAGCAAAAATTTTTATGTTGTTATTACATTGTTCTTTTTATGTTAAAATCATTTGTTTCTTTTTCATATAGTATATCAAAGAAGAATTGCTAATATAGCCCTTACCAGCCATGTGCTAAGTGCCACAGGTGTTTTGGTCTCTCTCCATTCTTGTACCTCACTTGGTCTTTTTTTTTTTTCTTTTGGAGGCGTAGTCTCCCTCTTTCACCCAGGCTGGAGTGTAGTGGCATGATCTCAGCTTACTGCAACTTCTGCCTCCCGGGTTCAAGTGATTCTCCTCCCTCAGCCTCCTGAGTACCTGGGACCACAGGTGTGCGCCACCATGCCCAGCTAATTTTTGTATGTTTAGTAGAGATGAGGTTTCATCATGTTGGTCAGACTGGTCTTGAACTCCTGACCTCAAGTAATCCACCCTCAGCCTCCCAAAGTGCTGGGATTACAGGCGTGAGCCACTGCACCCAGACTACCTCACTCTGTCTTTTAAGTTGGCTGTGTAAGTGGGGGAGCATCTTGTGGCTCGTTAAGTCTTTGTTTTCTGGCCTATTTATATAATGGACATTTCCGAGTTGTGTGTATATATTAAATTATTTGAGAGTATATATTTAATGGACTAAATAGATCTACATGTTTAAAGACCATTTTCATATATTTGTTCTGTAAAATGCTTACCTTTCTTCATGAACCACCTAGATTTGCTTTTCTGATGTGTAGTATATATGAAAATATTTCTTTAATTTTTTTTTTATCGTGTGCCCCTACAGGTGGTATAGTTAATAACGCCATAGCCTCTATAAAGAGCGTATCTATTAGTCTGCTGGCAGGAATTGTTTTGGGATTTTTTGTTCGATATTTTCCAAGTGAAGACCAGGTATATACAAAATCTATTTTATGGAAGTATAGTGTTAGACATTTTTTTCAAAATATTAAACTTTGGTAAGATCCATGAAACTTAATACTTAATTCTATTTCTCTAAAACTAGCCTCCAATGCCTGCTCTGTACTTGAAACTGAGCACAGCAGTGATTGATACAGGTCCATGGCTTTGATTAAAGTCTCTGCTTCCTGATTTGGCAAATAAGGAATATAAAAATATATACTTAATGCAGAGTATCCCTCTGAGTTATACTTTCCCTTTCTCTACTAAATTGCCTATTGATATTTGATAATTTCCCCCAAATTTTCCCTTAAATATTTTAAGGGGAGATAGGTTCCCATTAATTTCTGCATATTTTCTGACTTAAATTCACTCCTACTCTCCTTTGACAAAGGCAACACTCTTAAACTTAGCCATTTCCTGCCTTAAATGAAAATATGCCATTATTTTTGTATTTCTATAATTTCTATCCAAATTTAGCTATAACATATTGGCCAAAGAGACACTCAAATATTTTCATGTTATATGAAACTGGAGATTGTATGGGTCTCTTTTCTTCTTCACTTAAAGCAATACTTTAACCATTTTACTGATGTTAGTATCAGAGATATGGCAGAAAATGAAACGTTACTAATTGTAAATTTTGTTACTTGGTAGTAAGTCTCCTAAAATTTATAGTGAGAAAGAAAATCAAAATTTTAGACATTTAATATAATGTTTAAAGACATAATATCAAAGGGTCAAAAATATATAATAATGTCAAATCTTGTATTATATATTTAATGTAAACTAATTTCTAAATATCTATCTAATTCTAGAAAAAACTTGCATTGAAGAGAGGATTCCTTATTTTGACTATGTGTGTTTCTGCTGTCTTAGGCAGCCAACGTATAGGTTTACATGGATCTGGAGGATTATTCACCCTAGTGTTGAGTTTCATTGCAGGGACAAAATGGTCCCAAGAAAAGGTGAATATTTTTAATACGCTATATTTTAAAAGCTAAAACAACTGAATTTTTTACATATATTTAGGAAATCCCCTCATTCTGGTTGGAAAATGTTCCAAAAGGTTTTCTGTCCTCAAGAAAGTGTATGAATCAATCAAGGAAATAAAATATTTAGGAAAAGCACCTGAAAATATACTAATATGGAATCAGAAGTTGAGTTATCACATCAGGCTTCTCTTTTTGCCAAGAGTTATGTAATATTATTATATTACTTTTATGAATGTAATTATTTTATTCATTGGAATTTTAATTATATAATTAATCCATGAAAAATGTTTGTAAAAGGCCAGGCACGGTGGCTCATGCCTGTAATCCCAGAACTTTGGAAGGTTGAGGCGGACAGATCACCTGAGGTCAGGAGTTTGAGACCAGCGTGGTCAACATGGTGAAACCCCATCTCTACTAAAAATACAAAAATTAGCCGGGCGTGGTGGTGTGGTGGTGGGCACCTGTAATCCCAGCTACTCAGGAGGCTGAGGCAGGAGAATCACTTGAACCGAGGAGGCGGAGGTTGCAGTGGGCCGAGATCATGCCATTGAACTGCAACCTGGGCAACAAATGCAAAACTCCATCACAAAAAAATAAATAAATAATAAACAAATAAATAAAAATAGAAATGCTTGTAAAATAATAAAACATAGAATAAAATGTACAAGATTTCTTTATTCCCCACCACTCTCAAATATCAAACCCCCTTACACTTTTAGGTAACCAGTATTCTATTTATAGACATTGAGATCGTTTCCACTTTTTGTTATTTACAAACAGTGCTGTCGTAAACAGTGTTGTTCATGTCTTTTTTTGAGATGCAGTTTCAATCTTGTCACCTAGGCTGGAGTGCAGTAGCATAATCTCGGCTCACTGCAAACTCTGCCTCCTGGATTCAAGCGATTCTTCTGCTTCAGCCTGCCTAGTAGCTGGGATTACAGGCATGCACCACCACACCCAGCAAATTTTTGTATTTTTAAGAGAGGCAGGGTTTCACCATGTTGGCCAGGCTGGTCTTGAACTCCTGACCTCAGGTGATACTCCTGCCTCGGCCTCCCAAAGTGTTGGAATTACAGGTACATCTACTGGGATAGAGTCCTATAAATGATCTTTTTTTATTATTATTATTATTTTTTAGAGACAGAGTCTCTCGATGTTGCCCAGGCTGGTCTCAAAATCCTGGGCTCAAGGGATCCTCCCAACTTGACATTGCAAAGTGCTAGGATTACATGCATGAGCTACCACACCTGGCTGGAAATGATCTATATTTTATTTTGATGGACACTGCTAAATTATCCCTTCAAAAGATTTTGGTTATTCACATTCTGGCAACAGTTCACAAAAATATCTAATGTCTTAACTCATCAACAGCACTTGATATTATCACTAGTTCTATTCTTTCTACTATTAGATGACCTCATCATTCAGTTCTTATAGTTTCTTACAATTATGTGATGTCATTATTCTTTATTTACATTTCTCTGATTAGTAGTATAGTATACTTCTCTTCATATATTCTTTTTAAAATGCCTATGATCTTCTTTGACCATTTTTATTGGGTTATTTATTTTTTTGTTTCTAATTTATAGTTTCTAGTAGTGTTAGGGCTACAGATCCTTTGTTATGTATATATTGCATATAATTTTTGCTTATCTTCAACTTTGTTTATGGTGTCTTGTGTATGGAAGTAAAATTTTCTATGACCAAACCTATTGGTTTTTCCTTTTTTGGTTTTGGATTCTGCATCTCATTTAAGAAGGACTTTCTCACTGAAGATTATAACATATAAACATTACAAAGATATACTATTTTGTATATTATCATTTAATATTTTGGTAGTTTTTGATTGTTTAATTTGTTTCTTCATTTAGTCTTTTAATCTATCTGGAATTTATCTTTGTGAATGCTGTGAGGTAAGGATATATATATATACATGTGTGTATCTTACAAACTATATATATTTATACACACATACAGTTTGTAAGTTAACTGAACAGAGATAGAATTACATCATGCGCGATGTGTGTGTGTGTATATATACACACACATAAATATACATATATATTCAGACACACATATATACTTGCATGTGGTGAATATGTACATACAGATATATGCACATAAACTAGATGGTCATTTTTTGCCAAATTGTTTGTTTATTGACCAATTCATTAATAATTCAGTTTTTTAACATGAACTAAATTCTCCCATATATATTAATTCTGAAGTCTATTTAATCCTATTTCTCCATTTCTATGCCAACACCACTGTTTTAAATCACTGCAGTTTTATGTGTCAAAATCTAATATAGATTATACTTCTTTTTAAAGTATTTTTTGGCTGTTCCTACACATATTCTTTCTTAGATAAATTTTAGAATCAGCTTGAGAAGTTCCCTAACCAAAAATCATAGTGGCATTTTGTTTAGTATTCTTATATAATCGTAATTATAAAAGAAATTAAATGAATGAAATGCAAATCAATAAATAAAATTAAAACTACAAGAATTTTTTTAAATGATAAAAGAAACAGAACTAAAATAAGTTTTAAAGATTAAAAGTAACAAAAAGGATAGTTATGCTGTAAAGAATACTAACACTGTTTTTCTTTGTTTTTCTTTTTTTTAACCATATTTTAATAAGTGGGAATCAGAAAACGTAGTCTTAAGGGAAATAGTTGTGAAGATAGTTTATGCCTCAAGGAAGAGACACCAAAGTTCTTACATATCTTCTGTTTAAAAAAAAAAAAATGTTAAACCCAGACTGAGACTGAAATCTCTTCATCCAAATTCCTGAAGAAGAGCCAGAATACTGTAGGCCAATAGGCCCTTTCCTGTAACCTTTTAATTGAGGAAGTAGCACTGGGAGGCATTCGTTTCCAGAAAGGGAAGCTGGGTAGGCAACTAAATGAGAATCTAATATATGTTTTGGTTTTGTTTTAAGGAAAAAGTAACTTTAAAGTATTCAACATGGGTTCTTTGGAAGCAGGCCTCGCAGACTTCCAAATTGTTTTTCCTAGTAGTATATGCTATATCAGGATTCCCTTTAATGGGATTGAGTTCCAGGATGGTTGTTAGTGGAGGGCTTCCCAACCCCCTTCTGAGAACCCAAATGTTTGCATGAACTGGGTATGTTCTCATCAGGCATGATGTAGTTCTATCTCTGTTCGGCTAACTTACAGACAAAATCTGGAACTCATACTAAACATGGCTAGAACCCTAAGGACATCACTTATTTTGTGACAAAATGGCCAAATAGTATTATTTTATTGCTTTGTGAGTTTCTTTTAATCAAATTCTACCTAAGTGCTTGAGTAAAACTATCAAAGTGCTCAGTTTTTATTAATTAAGTTTAACATTTTTATTAAAATAAAATGTCTTAAGTCTATTGAATGTTAAGTGACTTTAGGCCAGGCATGGTGGCTCATGCCTATAATGCCAGTGCTTTGGGAGCCCACAGCCAGAGATCGCTTGAGGACAGGAGTTCCAGACCATCCTGGGCAACATAGCAAGACCCCATCTCTACAAACAATTTAAAAATTAGCCCGGCATGGTGATACACACCTGTAGTTCTACTTGGAAGGCTGAGGTGAGAGGATCACTTGAGCCCAGGAGTTCAAGGCTACAGTGTGCTATGATTATGCCACTACACTCCAGCCTGGGCAACACAGCAAGACCCCATCTCTAAAATACTTAAAAAGTTAAAAAAAAAAAGGGTGGGGGAGACTTTAAGTTTCTGAAATGTATTTATGTGCCAAAATAATTATAAATGTATTTCTCTTTTCTATAGATGAAAGTCCAAAAGATTATTACAAATGTATGGGATATTTTTCAACCACTTCTTTTTGGTTTAGTTGGAGCAGAAGTATCTGTTTCATTGCTTGAATCAAATACTATTGGTAAGAATAATTAGACACAAAAATATATGAAATTCAAAAATATTTAAGAAAATTATAAATACTCTTATTTTTATTTACAATATATCTTTGAATGACTACAAGGACCTTCTTCAGAAACACATGTTGATACAGTGTCATATTTTCATATTGCTCTTCCTTTACACTGTGTGCTCTGTTTTCTTTTTAAACCAAGGACAGCCCTGAAAATCTTCCCTGAGTTATCTGAGGAAATAAATATAAGATTTCTTTCCTGAGGGAAAATATTTGATACGATCAGCACTTTTTGAATACTTTCATTTAAAAGTATTGGCTGGGTGTGGTAGCTCATGCCTGTTATCTCAGCCCTTTGGGAGGCCAAAGCAGGCAGATTTCTTGAGGTTACGAGTTCGAGACCTGCCTGGCTAACATGGGGAAACTCCCTCTCTCCTAAAAATACAAAAATTAGCCCAGTGTGGTAGTGCACACCTATAATCCCAGCTACTCAGGAGGCTGAGGCAGGAGAATCATTTGAACCCGGGAGTCGGAAGTTGCAGTGAGCTGAGATTGTACCACTGCACTCCAGCCTGGGTGACAAAGCAAGAATCCTTCTCAGAAAATAAATTATTATTAATAAAAATAAAAGTATTCAAAAAAGTCTATTAGTTCAAAATTGCATAAATGTCATCTGTCTTATTTTTCATGGTACCTCCACCATCAGATAATCTCTTGCACTTTACAGAGAATCCTCAATTGTATTCATTTTTTATAATCATTGATTTTATGTAAAAAATAAACACATGAAGAGACAATAGCCTTAAAATGCTTTCAAAAGTTTTAGAAATCATATTCCTGAGCATAAAGAGCACTTCTTCACAAATATTTTGTTATTTATGTTTGTTTTCATCTGTTATAGGCATATTTGTTGCCACTCTGAGTTTGGCATTATGTGTTCGAATTTTAATCACATATATATTGATGTGCTTTGCTGGTTTTAGTTTTAAGGAGAAAATATTTATTGCTTTAGCATGGATGCCCAAAGCTACAGTACAGGTAAGAACATATTAAGCCTATTGCTTAATGCTTTCATTTTGATGCTTTTAAAATTTTAAATGAAAAATGTTACTCCAGTCACAAAATATGAGCTATTATCCTTACTTTTTAAATGTTTGGTTGATCATAACTATTCATTAAAATTAATGTAACCAGTCCCAGCTACTCAAGAGTCTGAGACAGGAGAACCACTTGAACCCGGGAGGCAGAGGTTGCAGTGAGCTGAGATGGCACCACTGTACTCCAGTCTGGGTAACAGAGCAAGACTGAATCTCAAAAAAATGAATAAATAAACAAAAACAAACAAAGAAACTTAATGTTACTTTCTTCTCTTTTTATTTTCATTTTGAGACCAGTTCTCACTCTGTCACCCAGACTGGAGTGCAGTGGTGTGATCACGGCTCACTGCAGCCTCAACCTCCTAGGCTCAATCTTCCCACATCAGCCTCCTGAGTAGCTAGGATCACAGACAACTGCCACCACACCCAACTGTGTTTCTTCTGATTCTTTTTTTTTTTTTTTTTTTTTTTTTTTTTTGAGACAGAATCTCATTCTGTTGCCCAGGCTGGAGTGCAGTGGCATGATCTTGGCTCACTGCAACTTCTGCCTCCCAGGTTCAAGTGATTGTCCTGCCTCAGCCTCCTGAGTAGCTGGAATTACAGGTGCACACCACCACACCCAGCTAATTTTTGTATTTTTAGTAGAGATGGGGTCTCCCCATGTTGGCCAGGCTAGTCTCAAACTCCTGACCTCAAGTGATCCACCCACCTCAGCCTCCCATAGAGCTGGGATTACAGGCATGAGCCACTGCGCCTGGCCATTTTTTCTGCTTTTTTGTAGAGAGGAGGTCTTGCTATGTTGCCCAGGCTGGTCTTGAACTCCTAGGTTCAAGTGATCCTCCTGCCTCAGCCTCCTGAAGTTCTGGGATTACAAGCATAACCCACTGGGCTCAGCCAATGTAACCTTTTTAAATCTCAGTTTTAAAAACAATTCTTTTGAAATTAAAAAGTATTCTTTCAATAAGTACTTCCTAAGTTTATGAAAATATGTTTTGTATTTTCCTAAAATATATAATAAGAGTATATCTGAAAATTGGAGTTTTTATATTTTACTGAATATAACAAAGCTAAATGTTGCAATTTTAAAAAGCAGAGACACAGGCCAGGCATGGTGGCTCGTGCCTGTAACCCTAGCACTTCAGGAGGCTGAGGCGGGCAGATCACTTGAGCTCAGGAGTTCAAGACCAGCCTGGGCAACATGGTAAAACCCCATCTCTACAAAAAATACAAAAATATTAGTCAGGGGTGGTGGCACGCACCTGTAGTCCCAACTACTTGGGAGTTGAGGCAGGAGGACTGCTTGAACTCGGGAGGTTGAGGCTGCAGTGAGCTGAGGTCACACCACTTCACTCCAACTTGGGTGACAAAGTGAGACTCTGTCACAAAAAAAAAAAATAAAGTAAAATAGAGACACATCGACTTTTTAAAAAATACTTTCCCTACCTTTGCCACTCACTCCATCACACAAATGCACACATATTGTTTTTAATTACACATTTATTTGTATAACTATTTGGTTAATGGCTAAATCCCTGCCCCCGCCCCCTTGATAGACTATGTAAGGAGAGGGACAGTGTCTGGTTGTTGCAGTTGTTTTTCATTATTTCTCCCTGGCACTTAACACAGTGCCTGACACACAGGAGGCAAATATGTATTGCATGCCTGCAAGAATGAGTGAACGGAAAGGGAAACCTTGTAATTTTGCCCTCTTATTCGAGGATATTCTCCTCCTACTAAAATATATTGCTACTTATTGTTAGACTGTTTAACTTGGCAGCATAATATACCTTAATTTCCTGTGGTTCTTAGTTGTTATTCCAAAACAGAAGCTCCTAAATTTTCATGCAAAAAAACCTCTATTATCATGTTAGAAAAGCAGGTTCATAGGGCCAGACTACCTGTTTTGAATACCATGTTATTTGCCTATACCTCGGGAAAATTATTTTCTAATCTCTCTGACTTCAGTGTTCTCATCTTACAATGAAGTCTATGACTAGATCTGTTTCTTAGTAGTGTTGTCAGGATTCAATGAGATAATCCATGTAAAGTGCTTAGCACTCTCTCTGGCATATGGTGGTGCTCAGTTAACAATGTTGTTATTTTATCTTACGTTCAAGTAATATAAATAATAACTTTTTTATTTTTAATGTCTACTGTAGGGCATAATAAATCTACAAAAGGAGTATCTATGCATCCCTCTGTTCTCTCTCCTTCCAAAAACACTCTCGCAATTTTATTATTTCATAATTTTCATAAAGCAGGGAGAAAAGAAAAGCAGGTATGAGGAAAGAGACCACTCACTCAAGTCCTGCAGTATTATTCTGCTTCTGCCTATTCCTGTCTGCTGGCTCCAGGCTAGCTTCTACACAAATATCAAGCTGGTTCCAGGAACTGGCAAGATATAAAAAATTAATCATTTATACAAGTAGAGTCACAACAGCAGTAATAGATAATGATAATGTCACAAGTAAGTAAGATCAACAAATATTTCAAATTTCAATTTTGAATTATTTTCACCTTTATCCTCTTCCACTGTTCTCTGCTGCTAAAATAAAATTGGCTAAGGTTCAGCTCTTTCTCTTTTTCCTCAGTTTCGAGTTACTGATAAAAATTAGAGTGGAAAAATAGAAGCTATTAGGAGAGTAAATAAATAATTTAGTTTACAAATGTAAGATCAGCTTGGCAATTGGATTCTTTTAAAGAAATAATATTCAATTTCAGTCACTAGGAGGAAATCATTTATCATCTAATAATAGTCCTCACATAATAAGGTTGTCATGAGAATTAAATGAGTTAATAAATGGAAAGCTTTAAGAATGATACCTGCCATATGATGAATGCCATATAACTATATAAATATTATTTCTAGTTTCACCATTACCATCATCATCTCTTAAAAGTCAATGGGTTTGGTTTTTGTTTTTTGTTTTTTCTGTTGGCAGTTCTTTTATGTTCAAATCCTCTTCTAAACTGTAAAATTCTTTCAAGTTGGTTTTCTGCATGATTATCTTTTTCTCCCTAGCATCCTCCAGCACACTGGCTCATGTTCAGTACATTAAAAGTTATGATATAAAAATGATACCATTTTAAATTATTGATCTAGAATATAGAAATTGATTTTAAATTGAGGGGTTCTTTTGCCATAATGTTCCATATCAGAGGTAATGTTTCTACCATTATGTTGTCACTTTGCAACTCCATAGAAAATATGTTATATATTGGTATTTAATTCCCCAAAATTTTAAGGCAATTTCATGCCTAGATGATTAAACACAAAGAAGGAGGGTTAGCAAGAAATTTGCTTTATGTTATTAAAAATAATGTGGTAGAAGGTAACTAGGGAAAAAAACTTGTGGCCCAGTAAAGTCATTCTAAAACAAAAACTTCAAAGGAACTCATTCTCTGACCTGGCAGGGGATGAGGAGTGAGGGAGAAAGAAACTTACTACTATCTGAATACCTACTATGTGCCAGGTGTTCTTTGCATTCTCATATTTAATTTTCGCAACCGTCCAGTAAGATAAGTATTTTGTTCTTCATTTTACAACTAAGTAGAAGTTTAGAGAGTGTGAGTCATTTGTAAGTTCACTAGCCTTGTTGCAGCAAAAATCGAATTCAAACCCAGTTTGCTAGATTCCAACCCTGCTGTCAATTCTACTATAACACAGTGCCCCCTGAATAGGGAGAACACTGAGAAGAAGTGTAAGAGATCCTAGAGACCCATAAGAAACCTTAATATTTTATGTTGTCTTGTTGTCACCAAGAACCACTGGTACATGGTAAAGGCAACGAAGCAAAACTGGTTTCATTAGAAATCCTGGTGTTATGAGGGTAACATGAACACTCAAAAGAGATATTTGAATAGAGGAACACTGAGAGGACAAGAGTGCAAAATCAGCCCAAAAATGTTTGCCTGCTGATTTGTCACTATTGTACTCTTCCTCCACATATATTTGCTAGGAAGAACATGGAACTGATGAGTAACTTATGAAAATTACTGAGTACTTGTTTTTTCTAATAGTCTAGTACTAGATTTTGTTTATTTTAAGAGAACCATTTACATTATATATTAACTCCATTTAACATTTTTCTTTATGCCCTGTTTTTACCCCTAAATGCAGGCTGTGTTAGGTCCTCTGGCTCTAGAAACAGCAAGAGTCTCTGCACCCCACTTGGAACCATATTCAAAGGATGTGATGACAGTAGCATTTTTAGCCATCTTGATCACAGCTCCAAATGGAGCTCTACTTATGGGCATTCTGGGGCCTAAATTGCTTACACGCCATTATGATCCAAGCAAAATAAAACTGCAATTGTCAACGTTAGAACATCATTAAAAAGTTTACTTGTCATCATCTGCCTGCTTCTTTTAATGATTTATTTCACATGACAGAAGAATTTTAAAGTAGAAATATGTGCGGACTGTACAGAGAATCCAGGATTTAGTAAATATGTGATTTCAGTACAGGGCTTTTCTTGGATTTTTTACTCCAAAGTTAATTTAATAAAAATAATATTAAATGGAATGCTCTCGGTATTTACACACTGTAAGAACAAATTAAATCTGTAAATACCCTAGGAAAGTTTAAAGTAATCCCTCAGGCTGAATTTTATATCATAACAAAAACTGAACTTAATATTAAATTAAACAAACTTAATGGCAGAAAGAAAAAACTTTGAATATTGAACTTGGTAAGATAGCCTAAGTTTCCAAACAGGAGAAGTAGAACTCCCCATGATGTCCAGTAATTCAGTTAAAAAGATCACCACAAAAAGAAAAAAAAAAAGGAATAAAACACATCAACTTTGAGTTAACGAAATAGATTTTAAATTCTAGTTTTGGTGACTACCTGAATAAATAATATGTAAAGTAATACAACCAAGTTACTCTTTCCCTACTTCTGCCATGCCCTTAAAATGAAAGTCTGGTTTAGCAGTTTTTAGATGAAACACTATCTATATTTTTATTTATAGAAATAAAATTAAATCACAAACGGAAATAAACTATATTTTTTCAATTAGTATTTTAAAATCTAGGCATAAAAGGCAGCCTCCAAAAATGAAAGATTTGGAGACTACTGTCATGTGGCAGTTTCTTCTCCTTAGTAATACAGAATTACCTTTTAATTCTGGCTGATTAAATCTGCCATGTTAATGTAGAACCCATCACAAGCAAAATGAGTTTTAATTAACTCAAGACTCTTTATTTTAAAGTTATAAGAGTCATATAAAGTTAAAAGAGTCATTCTCAAATGGCCTTATTGAATGGCATCTTAGAAATTGTTTAGACTTCTTTGGCAAAACCTCAATGCAAGGACTGAATATTACTTTCGTTCCCCTTTTTTCCTCTTCTCCACAAGCAAGCTATTAAAATACCACAGAATATGAAATTTACACATAAATTTGCCAAGTGAAACAATTAAAATTTAAGGCAATCGAAACTGTGTGTTATTCCATTAAGACTAAGGGCTTTCACAGAATATATCCCCAAAACTGCCAAAAGTTCTAAAACCCTCTGGAAAATAACTCTTTGAAAATACACTCTGGGAAAATAACTCTGGGTAAAGATAAAATAGCTACTGTTTTAGTGACATTTTCTCCTTGTAGTTTTACAACAAAGTACAGACTCCATTTTCAAATATTGTAATTGTAGTACTCAAATTCTAAAAATTTAAACTGTGCCAGTGTTTTGACTACTATTTAAATCATGAGGGCGTCTCATTGTCACTTATAAGAAAATAAAAATATAGGCAGGGCGCTGTGGCTTATGCCTGTAATCACAGCACTTTGGGAGGCCAAGGCGGGCGGATCACAAGGCCAGGAGTTCGAGACCAACCTGACCAACATGGTGAAACCCTGTCTCTACTAAAAATACAAAAATTTGTCAGGTGTGGTGGCACGCACCTGGAATCCCAGCTGCTCAGAAGGCTGAGGCAGGAGAATAGCTTGAACCCAGGAGGCCGAGGTTGCAGTGAGCTGAGATCACACCACTGCACTCCAGCCTGGGAGACAGAACAAGACTCTGTCTCAAAAAATATATATATATGTATATATTTACATTTACAAGATAGTATTTTACATTCACAAGAGGATTAGATTTCAAAGTAGAAAGTTTATTTTAATAAAAGAGATACAAGAAATCATTTTCAAAATGAGGAATTGTGTTTTTGATTAGGAGGAAAATTGTTGTACCTATTCTTTTTATTCTTTATATAATTTTCTCTAAGTGTCTGTGATACATGTTTATTATACTGAAATAGTCTCCCTTTTAAGGTAGTGTTGCAGATGATGTTATTTATTTGAAATTTTAAGTTTTTTATTTATAAAAAGTTTTCATAAAAATTTACTAATATAATTTAAAAATTACAACCAGTTAACCATGTGTATGATATTAGTGTTTATAGTATTTAAACAAATAAGGCTAGGCGCGGTGGCTCACACCATCCCAGCACTTTGGGAAGCCAAGGCGGGTGGATCATGAGGTCAGGAGAGGGACATCATCCTGGCGAACATGGTAAAACCCTGTCTCTACTAAAAATGCAAAAAATTAGCCAGGCATGGTGGCACGCACCTGTAGTCCCAGCTACTCAGGAGGCTGAAGCAGGAGAATCACTTGAACCTGGGAGGCAGAGGTTGCAGTGAGCCAAGATCATGCCACTGCACTCCAACCTGGGTGACAGAGCCAGACTCCGTCTCAAAAAAATAAACTAAAATAAAATTAAAAAACAAATAATTGCAAGATTATTGTTTTTTATAAACTTTTTGTGTCTTTGCCTTTTTTTTTTTTTTTTTTTTGAGATGGAGTCTCACTCTGTCACCCAGGCTGGAGTGCAATGGCATGATCTTGGCTCACTGCAACCTCTGACTCACTGCAACCTCCACCTCCCGGGTTCAAGTGATTCTGCTGCCTCAGCCTCCTGAGTAGCTGGGATTACAGGCACCCACCACCACGCCCAGCTAATTTTTGTATTTTTATTAGAGATGGGGTTTCACCAGGCTGGCCAGGTTGGTCTCGAACTCCTGACCTCAGGTGATGCAGCCGCCTCAGCCTCCCAAAGTGCTAGAGTTACAGGCATGAGCCACTGCGCCTGGCCTGTCTTTGCCTATTTTTTCACTGTTTAAGGAATTGTTATTAAAGCGAAATTTTATAATCCAAATTACCTTTCCTTGCTCAGTTATCAATTCTGTTACTTAAAACAGAAGTGACATTATGAGCTATTCCACACTAAAGAATTACAAAATTGAAGGCATGCTTTACATTTCTATACTTTGCTGAAAATTCTTTATCCCAGAGTCTGAAAAGCATTACAGTGTTTTAATATTTTATTTTGGGGGGATTTTTTGTTTTCAAATCAATAAGTAATCTAGGACTGTCATTGCATTTGTTAGATCTGACATTTGCTTGGTATGTAAGGTTCAAAGTTTCCTTTTTAAATTGACTTTATACTTCACAAATTTTTTCCATAGTATTTAAGGTTTTCGATATTGAGATACTTTTCTTCAGTGAAGCACAAGTTTCTTTCTGTGGTCCCTGATCAGTTTTAAACAACTGGAACACCAGTGGCACTCTTAACTGCTTTCTGGGCAGCCTGTTTAGGTTGGTGGTCTTGTAGTACAGCTATATCTTTGTCAGCCTTAGCACAGAGAGGCTCTGGAGATTCAAGCATACGAAGAAGTTCTGAATTACCAATCTCCAACAACATGCCAATGATTTTACCAGCACGACTAGGGCATGGCTTGAAGAAGAGGAAACAGCCATTCACTCGTTTGCTTTTGCTTTTGAGGAGGAGCAGATGCCATCATGAAAGTCAAAGGTTACTGACCTTGTACATGAACAGCAGGCTGCTGCATGGTACCTTGGGGCTGTACAAGAAAATGCCATTGAGGATTGTGAACTTCCATAGCATATTTATAATGTGAAATGGTGCAAACAGCAGGAGTATCTGTAGTAGCAGTAGCGGCAACTGCAGGATGTGCTCCTATTGTCTGTGTTGATGTGTTGTAACAGCTGTGTTGACATGATCATGGAAGCTGTGAAGAAGCTGGTCTCATACGACTCAATGTAGTGATCTAGGAGTGGCTGGGCATATTTGTCAATGGATGAGGTCTGGCACCCTGAGCAATTTAGGGAGGATTTTATCTTAGTTGAGCAGTTTGGCTAGGAGAATACTTAGCAGCAGGGATCTCAGTCTGTGGGACAATTGCCATGAAGTAGATTGAAGAAAGTGCTGGCTGATAGGGGATGATTCCCAGGGTGAGCACAGTTTTTATACTTGCCGTTCTTTGCACATACTGTACTGGTTAATCAGCGAGCCTGGGGCTCTTCATTGCTCTTCTTCCCGTTGAGTTCATACTACATACAATGGCTCAGTGCGCACAATTCTACCATTAATTTCTAAAAGTGCTTTAGTTGCTTCCTCTGGAGAGGAGAAACATACACAGATCAAACCCTTTGTTGTGACTACCATCCTTCATAACCTTTGCATTAGTGATTGTACCAAGTGGAGAAAGTTCTTTCCGGAGACATTCATCAATACCATCAAGATTTTTTGCATAAATGTCAACACTTTGTTATCTGGTGATCCTATACTGTTTGAGCTTTTCAAATTTGCACGCAAGTTCCATCTGCCATTCAACTTCTTTCTGAGCCTGACCAACATCAATTTGTTTTCCATTGAGCTTCTTTCTGTTCATCTCATCTGCGCATCTTTATGCCTCTCAAAGCTGGCAAATCCAAAACCTTTGGGTTTTCCACTTTCATTAACCACTACTTTCACACTTAAGACAGATCCCAACTTGCCAAAGAGATCTTTAAGGCACTTACCATCCATATGTCTTCTCCAAAAATCTTCCTGTAAACATTGGTGAACTTTTTAACTCTGAGTTCTGCTTCTCATTGTTTACAAGACTTAATCCAACAAAGACTTTACTATCATTTAGAAGCATCCATTTCATTTTTTAATAGATCTTTCAGCTGCTTCTGTGTCTCAAAATGTACAATGCCATCACCGTTGAAACCATTTTCACCACAAAGCACCTAATGTGAAAGTGATAGAGACAGGAGGCAGCCAAGGGTCCCCCGGTAAAACCCCACCTTCAAGACTAAAACAGCCTGAAGGCTGATAAACTGGACTGCAGGTTGAAGCCGCCCTTGCCCCGCTGATTCTGAATAATGCCCACCTGCGCGCTGGGATTACGAGGTGGAGCCTTGGGAAGTTTGTGCCTGTGCTGTGGAGAGGACTCTGGCCTCTCCTGTTCCTAGGTAGTGACCTGGGATTTAATCTATGAGGGGAGGAACCCACTAGCAGGACTTTCTCTCTTTGCTGAGAGTTATTTTTCCTTTTTCCTTTCTACCCCATAAATTCCGTTTCCCCTCACCCTTCAAGTGTTTGCATGCCTTTTCCTGGTCGTATGACAAAAACCGGGTTTTTTCTACAACAACAAGATGTTACCAAAAGCAGAAGATACATCGTGCAATGCTTTATAATCAATAGATTTGTCCAATTTTTTAATGAATATGTTGCCCACTCCATTTTTGCGAAGTGATAGATCATGCTGAGACCACTTAGTGTGTATTGGCTAGTCTTTTATAACATCAAAATTCATTCCACATCCTGCATTTCCCAAAGAGCGCCGGTAATCTGGTTCCTGTAGCCCGGGATGGAGAGGACCTGCCAGCAGGCTTGGTCACGTGCGGTGCGAGGACAAGGGATGGCTGGGGCGCTGGGCTCACCTCCACACCCGTCTGCCGGTAGGGCCACAGGCTGCGACCTTTCGGTGAAAGGAGAGTAAGCGCTGGGGCGGAAGCCTGAACCAGCTCAGAGAGACAAAATCACCTGGAATCCAAAACTACTCCACGGCCGAGGAACTGCGGCCCGCAGCGGGCTGGGACGAGGGTGGCGGTGTAGGGTCCAGGGTCCAGGCCTCGGGATCCTGTTCCTTCTTGAAGCTGCTTCGGAGCTGCGAGGGGGCGGGTGGGTAACTCTCGGCTGCCTCACCGGGTTATCTTCTACAAGAAGAAAAGGAAAATGTCTCTGGCAGTGAAGACAAGGATTTTTTTGTAAAGTGTTTTGCAGGGGTGGTGGGTGTTAAAACAGAATTTTTTTTTTTTTTAAGTTTTTTTCACGGGATTTTTTCGGGAGAATGGATTTTTCAAGATACTAAATATGTGCTGATCCTGGAGAACACACTCCACACTCTCAGCACTAACCGCCTGGAAGAAGGGACCCATTAATGTTGAATTGTACCTTCTTTCGTGGCCTCATTTTTTCCCTTTTAATTATGAAACATTGGAGCCTACAGAAAGGTAGAAAAAATGGGCACCCACATAACCACCACCTAAATCCAATTAATTGTTAATATTTTGTCAGGTTTTCTTTATGTAATTTTTCAATTTGAATTAAAAGTAAATTATAGGCGTCATGCTAATTTGCCTCTGTATACTTAAGCCTGACTATTCAAAAACTAAAACCATTTTCTTGCATAACCACAATTCCCTTATCCTTTCACACCAAGTTATCAGTAATTCCTTAAAATTAT